CTACATTCCTAGTTACTAATATCTTCTACAGTCCTAGCCACAAGTGTCCTCTGCAGTCCTAGCCACAAGTGTCCTCTGCAGTCCTAGCCACAAGTGTCTTACAGTCCTAGTCACTAGTGCCTTCTACAGTCCTAGTTACTAGTGCTATCTACATTCCTAGTTACTAGTGTCTTCTACAGTCTTAGTTACTAGTGTCATCTACAGTTTTAGTTACTAGTGTCTTCTGCAGTCCTAGTTACTAGGGTTTTCTACAGTCCTAGTCACATGTGACGAAACATTATCTCAGTGTCTTGAGCTGTGCATCTCTCTATCTTTTAAACTGAATTATCAACAGACACCTAGATGTCTTCATGAACAAACTTGACTATTTCGTCATGGTAGTTCCTGATCACCCAGGCCGTGGTGCCCACGTTGGAATTAGTGCAGCCAGCACCAGCAGCCTAATTGATCAGGCCCATCAAACAGGAAACGGATCTGAAACTGGGCTGCAGGGTTAGTGATCCTGGAATTGTCTACGGGTAATCTGTCGAAAAACATGAAGCTATTAATTCTTCGGTGAAGCTTTATGATCTGACACAGATAGTTTCTATCTGTGAAAATGAGTCAGAAGTGTTAATCCTCTGGATAGCCTGCCTTGGTCTGGTAACTCAACCTTCTATGTAGACCACGTTTTGAGTCTCCCCACGAAAGCTTACATCTCTGGCCATAAGTTAGGGTAAGGGAAGGAAGTCTTTTTAAACTTAAAGTAGCTAAGACGAGGACTTAATGGGAAGCTACGGTCCAGACCCTATCTTGGGTGAAGAGATGAAGCTTCCCTAGAGAAGCACGACTCTGGTACTATTAACACATCGGCCTTCTCCCACCAAGGCAGGGTGACCCGAAAAAGAAAAACTTTCATCATCATTCACTCCATCACTGTTTTGCCATATTTTGCTCCATCCTCTCTGAATTACCAAACCACCTCAACAACCCATCCTCAGCCCTGTGAATCATAATTTTAGAAACTCCACACCTCCTCCTAATTTCCATACTATGAATTCTCTTCATAATATTTACACCACACATTGCCCTTAGACACGACATCTCTGCCACCTTCTCGCTGCAGCATTTACAACCCATGCTTCACACCCATATAAGAGTGTTGGTACCACTGTACTCTCATACATTCCCTTCTTTACCTCCATGGATATTCTTTTTCTCCACAGATACTTCAGTGCACCACCTGCCTTTTTCCCTTCATCAGTTCTACAGTTTACCTTGTCTTTCATATACCCATCCACTGACACGTCCACTCCAGAACATCTGAGCACATTAATTACTATCATACTCTCTCCTTCCCTTCTGATATCCAGTTTTTTGTTACCTAACTTGGTTGATACCCTTATCACCTTACTTTTATCTATGTTCACTAATTTGCTAATACAGTGGTACCTTGACTTAAAAGTTTAATCTGTTCTGTGACCTAGCTCATAACTCAATTTGCTCGTATATCAAATCGATTTTCTCATTGAAATTAATTGAAATGCTGTTAATCCATTCCAACTGAATTCTTGCTCTCGGGAGGCAGGAGAAAATACTTTAATATAACGGCTTATTTATCTATCACAATTGAGCTGGCTTGTCTACAACTACGGATGACACCCGAGACCTCTTCACCGCAAACAGCAACATAGATTACAACTCGTCAACACCCAAAGGTATAGCCCAGGAATTCAGTCTTCAACAACGACCCAACTCATTGATAAAATTCTACAGGAAAATATTATGCTAAGACGACAAAACGAAACCTATGAAAAACTCATTATGGACCTAGAGTGCTTACTACATACCCAAAACACAAGAATTAAAGACCTTGAATATCATCTTATGACACAAAACTCAAAGATAAGTGAACTAGAAAACAAACTGACATCATTAATAAACTCATCTAAAGAACAAGCAAACCTACGTTCAACTATAGACACACATGCTAAACAAATAAATTCTCTCACCACCAAGCTGTGAGAAGCTACACAAGACTGGAAGTTAAACATGGAATCCCAGTGGAATGCATGCTTCCAGTATCAAAGGGATATGATTGAACAAGACAAGCTCCTATACTTGGACATCATCCTCTTTTTCTTCTCAGCACTGCCCTTCGCACTCACTTTCTTAGGACCCATGGTTAGAAAAAAGAAATTTGGCAAAATAACTGCACAAAATGCAAGCACAACACAATGCTAATCCAATATGAGGACCAGCTATACTGTAATTTATCTTACCTTCATTCCCCCCAAAAATAAATTTCATAAGTTTTTGACATTTAGCAAAATATCTGCCTTTTACCCACCCTCCCCCACAAATCATGAAATATTTGAGATGTTGCAACAGCCATTGTTTTATGTTCATTGTGAAAATTAATTCAATCCATTCATTATTAATGGCTCATTTCCAAGAAATAGCTCAATATTTTACTTCCAAGATATTTGAGGGAACACATACATAGCTGGTAAACCTGGGAAAAAAAAAATGAGAAAATTGTGCTATTTTTTAGTCTTTCCATAGGATATCAGTGTTACCCCTGTCGTAAACTCCGTTTTCTCTAGTGTTAGTGATCAGAGGTGCAGGTGGGAGAACAGTTATATCATATCGTAAGTTCATATTGAGTATTCCCAGTCGCCAGTCAAGCGCTCCATATAATGACAATTATTATTAATTTGGACATATTTTATTATGCTTATTGTTATTTTTCTAACGTCTGATATCATTTTTGATGGGTAGATAGTTAATTGTTAATAATCACATAGTTATACATTTTATAGTGCCATGAGGCATCATTTCCTTTTGTGTTGCTAAGCTCAACATACACTAAGCACTTTGCAACTGGCCTCACCCTCTCTTATAGATCCTCCCACTTTGTAACCATGGCAGATGGTGAATTTTATATATTAGAATGATATAGAAATAATTAAAAAATAGGGAAAAAAAATGAAAATTCACATGTTCAGACATATTGTGTGCATGAGTCATCGCAAGACAGTGCTGAAATGACTGTAATTCTTTGTAGAAATATTGTACAAACTCTTTCTTTCTCTTTGAACACACTGGCCGTATCCCACCGAGGCGGGGTGGCCCAAAAGGAAAAACGAAAGTTTCTCCTTTTACATTTACTAATACAGTGGACCCCCGGTTAACAATATTTTTTCATTCCAGAAGTATGTTCAGGTGCCAGTACTGACCGATTTTGTTCCCATAAGGAATATTGTGAAGTAGATTAGTCCATTTCAGAGCCCCAAACATACACGTACAAACGCACTTACATGAATACACTTACATGATTGGTCGCATTGGGAGGTGATCGTTAAGCAGGGGTCCACTGTATATACAGGAGAAAGGGTTACCAGCCCCTTGCTCCTGGCATTTTAGTCGCCTATTGCAACACGCATGGCTTGCGGAGGAAGAATTCTGTTCCACTTCCCCATGGAGGCAAGAGGAAATAAACAAGATCAAGAACTAGTAAGAAAATAGAAGAAAACCCAGAGGGGTGTGTATATATATGCTTGTACATGTAAGTGTAGTGTGACCTAAGTGTAAGTAGAAGTAGCAAGATGTACCTGAAACCTTGCATGTTTATGAGACAGAAATATGGACACCAGCAATCCTACCATCATGTAAAACAATTACAGGCTTTTGTTTTACACTCACTTGGCAGGGCGGTAGTACCTTCCTGGGCGGTGCTGTCTACCAACCTACTACCTAGGATCGTACAAACATAAGACTTAAAAACATCAAAATGTTGCCAGATTCTTAAACTATTTTTCTGTAAACTTAACTCATTTTTTCAAATTTTTTCGCAATATTTTTTCCCCCCACACCGCGTCCTAGCCCCCTTAAAATGTTTCTGAAGTGATACATAGCATTGTCATTCAGTAGGTTTATAACACAGTTTGTTACAGCTTTGTCTGGGTGATATTTTTCATTTTGGATACATTTCTTGTGTAAGAGCAGTAGGCAGGTAGTGCATGATTGGTCGAGTGCTAAGCAAACGGTCTACTACCAAGTGAGTTTTTTACCAAACAAAGTTTTCGAACACCAAATTGTTTGAGTTGGAAGCTGTTCAAGTCCTGAGGTACCACTGTATTGAGTCCTGATCACTTTACTTTTAAGTTCTCTTAGTGTACTCATTGTGCCTGCACTTTTTGTTTGGGTATTTTCCACTGTCTGCCAAGCCTTTTTGATTTTGTAGGGAATGATGAGTTTCTATCAGCAAATTTTGCAGAGAATGAAAAAATATTTTGGAGTGAAATTAGTTTAGAAATCCTGGGGAATGAATGGATTTAACAGATGGGGAGATGGAAGTATTGGGAAGATGGGGGGAATGTTTTGAGGAGCTATTAAATGTTGAAGATAGAGAAACAGTCATTTCATGCATTAGGAAGGGAGGTAAAACATCTTTTAGGAGTGAGGAAAAGCCATATGTGAGTGTGGGAGAGATTAATGAGACATTGGGTAAAATGATGATTGATCAAAATAGAAATGTTAAGAGTAAGAGTAGGTAGGGATATACTTTTGGAGTGGTTGGTGCTTTTGTTCATTAAGTGTATGGAAAGGGGAAAGGTACCTAGGGATTCACAGAAAGCTTGCATAGTGCCTTTGTATAAAGGAAAGGGGGATAAACTAGAGTATAAGAATTATAGGGAAATAAGACTGATGAGTATACTAGGTAAGGTGTATAGTAGAGTTATTATTAGAAGATTTAAGGGTAAGACAGAGCAATATTGCAGAGGAACTAAGATTTTTGGAAGGGTAGGGAATGTGTACATCATGTGTTTACATTGAAGTATATACATGGTTTTGCTGGATCAGTTGGGTTGTGATGGCTATGTGAGCCACCAGTGCAAGCATCCTGTTTGATCAGGTGGTCAACAGGGAAGCCTGGCCTGAGATAGAAAGACCCTTTGAAACTGGCCACTGGTATATGGTGGACCACATAAAACTAATTTAAGATGTCTTCTTTTCAGTCCGTGAATGAACGTGGAGAGACAGCAAAAGGTTCTACCACTTCTTTGGGATCGGCCATCAACAGTCGACCATCTTCTCGGTCATCATCTGTTGGGCCTGAAAATGGTGACATTGATTACAAAAAAGTAAGAACCCAAGCATGTTTGACACTGTTCAAGTGCATTACTTTAAGTTGCATATCAACCTTTAATTAAAGTTCTTGGTTAACACCTCTTGGAATGTAGAGGCAAAATTAATTCCGTATTACATCTCCATAAAAACAATCACGTATGAAATGGGGAAATTAAGGCAGACATTTTGAAACAAATCTGATGAGAATTACAATTACAATTGGAAGTTGGAGAAATTTAGTGATAAAAAAAAGAGCATCTTTTTACAGGATTTTGGGAAGTTGCCTTCCATCCCACATTTTTCTCAAGTTATTTACATTGCCTCAACTTTTCCCTTCACTCTCTCTATCCAGGAAGGTTAAATTTTGAAAGCTTTTTATTAAAGCACATACATGATAAATTATAGTTTGCTGATTTTTATACAGCAGGAGTTTCCAACATCCTGACTGTGGGCCAAGAGTGTCCTACTTGAGATATTATTCAAAAAAAAAAAAAATTAACCATGATTAGCAAGTAAAAACTTTCATATTAATTTCATATTAATAAAGATGATTAAATTTTTTTCTTAATTTTTACTATGTATTAAAAGATTTCTTATTTCTTAATAATGTAACCTACTGTATTTCACCATTGTTATCAGTAAAAGAATTATGCATACATAAGAATTTCTAGACATGTGGCCCATTATTGAAAATTCTTGGATACCTGTGTTGTAATCACAATAGACAACCACCTTTAGTGCAATTCATGTTGCAGAAAAACAGAACTATACATGAAAACTTGATGGGTAGTGTGAACAGTTCGTGGGAAAAAATTGGGTTACATTACATGCCGCCAAAAAAAAAAAAAAAAAAGCCGAACTACTACTTTTTTAAATACACAAATCACCTAAAATAATAGTCTAATTATTGTACAATGATTTTAAAAGCCATGTAGATGTTATGGCCACATTAAAAATTGTTGCTATAGTATGATGCAGGATGTGCATAAATTAACCTAATAAAGTCAAACAATGTGAATACACTTACCTTGTATTCTGGTTCCTGTTGCTTAAGTGGCTTGACCTCAGCAACAGAAGCCAATATGTGTACGCAAATGGGGCAAGCTCTTCCGCACAACCAATTACAGTTGGTGTTCCACAGGGAAGTGTCCTTGGCCCTCTTCTCTTTCTCCTATACATAAACGACCTACCAAATGCTTCGCAATTACTCAAACCCACACTATTTGCAGATGACACTACATACGTCTTCTCTCACCCGAGCCCAGTCACGCTAGCCAATACTGTAAACACCGAATTACAGAAAATATCTACCTGGATGAGGACTAACAAACTTACACTAAACATTGACAAAACCTACTTCATTCAGTTTGGTAACAGAGCTACAAATGTCCCTCTTAACATAATGATAAATGGATCACCTATCACAAAGCTAACAGAGGGAAAATTCTTAGGAATCCACCTTGATAATAGACTCAAATTTCATACACATATACAACAAATTTCTAAGAAAATTTCCAAGACTGTAGGCATACTATCGAAGATACGGTACTATGCTCCACAGTCAGCCCTCCTGGTCCTATATCACTCTCTAATTTACCCCTATCTCACCTATGGAATTTGTGCATGGGGCTCAACAACAATTAACCATCTCAGACCACTAATTACCCAACAAAAGACTGCAATTAGAATAACAAATTCTCACTACAGGCAGCACACTCCACCAATATTCAAAACACTCAACCTACTCACCATACAAAACATCCATACTTATTATTGCACCTATTACATACATAGAACACTTAACTCTGATATTAACCCTCCTCTCAAACATCTCCTTGCCAACCTCAACAGAACACATGACCATAACACAAGGCACAGATCACTCTTTGATGTTCCTCGTGTCCATCTCACGCTATGCAAAAACTCAATGCACATAAAAGGCCCTAAAATCTGGAATTCATTACCTGTAAATATAAAAGAAACGCTACCTGTTTATAAATTCAAGTCTCTTCTCAAAGATCACTTACTCACCCAAAACCAAATAAATACTGAATAACTGAACCTTATAATTTGTATATCTTAAATGTTTCTCACAATTATATCACATTAATGTTAAACCTAAAACCCAATCTAACTTTACTATTTTTTTAAATACACTACCTAACAGAATACTCCATTCGACTGAATGTACAGCAATGCATGCAACCATATGACCTGTCTTTGTAATACTCATTTGTGCTTTATAGTTATCTGTTTACAATAATGTTTTATCACTGATTTCATCATTGCTTAGTTAATCTTAAGTTAATTTTAAGCTAGCCCGTAATGCTATGCATATAAGTGGCTTTGGCATGCTGCTCTTACCTGTATTTTTTTGTACCTCTGTATGTATGCTCAAATTACTAAATAAATAAATAAATAAATAAGCTTGGTGTGGCCCTACTGGGCCACACAAGAAAAATTCTCTGCAATTGCGTTGTCAGCAAGAGATACAGTCACTACTGAACTCGAAAATAATTAGACCATTGATGAGAAAAGGTACACTCAATTGCCGGCTTTCCCTCCTCACACACAGTTTAATAGTAAGATGAGGCTTTCTTACAGATCACAAAGAAATTGTGGTGCATATTTTTGTTTTTTCCTGAATCTATTCTTCAGTATTTTTTTTATTTAGCTGTATTGACTTTTTTTTTTTTTTCAGCCAGTCACAATTTAGGTTACTCATCACACAAATGCTTATCTTCTCCTCGTTGTCTCAAATGAATTATTGATTCTGGCACCCCATTGGCCTTAGTTGCATCAGCCACACGTGTCATCTTTAAGCATATCTTTTACCTCAGTTTTCTTCACTAGAGGCATAATTTCAAGCTTAAACTTCTTAGCACCTTCATCTACACTAGACTGCCTCTTAGATACCATGATTAACCCCTTGAGGGTCAGTGCCGTAGTTCTACTGTTTTGAACTCTGGGTCAGTGACATAGAAATACATCATGAGCTCAGCTCAGATAAGCTGTGAGGGGTAAATTTTGGCCTAGATATGAAAGAATGGGTCTGTGTGGTGAAGGTGTACCATATAAAAAAATGCACTGCTCCATGCAGTGCATGATGAGGCGATGAAAACTGTTACTGGGTTTTTTGTTTAACCTTTGAGGGTCGAGAGGCCCTCTCCCAAACTCGTTCTCAGGGTCGAAAATTTTTTGAAAAAAAAAAAAAAAAATCTTATGAAACGATAGAGAATTTTTTTCCGATCATAATGACACCAAAAGTATGAAATTTGATGAAAAACTTACGAAATTATGCTCTTGCAAAGTTAGCAGTCTCAAAGTTGGAGATTTTGCCCACTTTGGGCCCTATTTTCGGCCAATTCCAATGTTGCAATTGACTAAAATCATAGCTATTTCCCTAGAACTCCATTTGTTCTATCAATTGAGTACAAGAATCCACCCATTTACCAATTTCAACTATCCAATAAAGTGGTCAAAAATTGGCAATTTGGGCAATTTCACACAAATTTCAAAAGATGCCAATTTCAAAATAGGGTTCAGAATAAACAAAACAGACATTCATGGCACTAAAATAACATTTTGTCTGTTCATTAGTCACGTCTCTAGGCCCTCTTACATTACTTTTGCTTTCCATTTTGAATTTTTATTCTCACAGAAAATAGAAAGTTTTCTGTTATGTATACTACTGCATCATTGTAAAAATGGTATAAATGATATCAGCGCACTTATGAAAGAATATTAGACTCACCAGTTGACATGTATTGGACGTGTGGCTTGATTTGTTTACTCTTGAATATCGGCAAAATCAAGTTACTTGTCATCGTGAAACCAATCAAAACCATCTCTAATTCTGTAATATATCTTCCATTCTATCAAATGAGACCAAGGAAACAAGAATACACCCATAAATACCATATGAAAATTCACTAGAAAGTCTCTGTTTTAAACCAAAAATACAGTCGAAGTTTTTTTTTTTTTTTCTCATTATGCACAGCGTGCTTCAGGATATTTTTTATACTGCACACACTGACCACACAGACCCATTCTTTCATATGTAGGCCTGCCAGCTTTCTTCCACCAGATTTGAAGGTGCTAGAATTTAGGCGTACAAGTACGTGACCGACCCTAGCTGTAATGACGTATTTGTATGTGACCGACCCTCAAAGGGTTAAAATAGTGAATTTGCAGTATATTTTCAGATGAATTTTATGGTTTTATTCTCGATTTCTTGGTATCACTTATCCACTACATATCCAATTAGTTGGTCTAATATGCATTCACAAATGTGCTGACATTATTTATACAATTATTACAATAATGCATAACAGTAAATCTTCTATTTTTGTGTGAGAATAAAAATTCAAAATGGAAAACAAGTGTAATATGAGAGAGGCCTGGGAACGTAACTAATGAACAGAGGAAATGTTATTTTAATGCCAGGAATGCCTGCTTTGTTTATTCTGGACCCTATTTTGAAATCTGTGTGAAATTGGCCAAATTACCAATTTCTGATCACTTTAATGGATAGTTGAAATAGTTGATTGGGCAATTTCTTGTGCTCATCAATAAAATGAAAGACATACTAGTGAAATAGTCTTATTTTATTACCTTCAGAAACAGATTCTCTACCATTTCATTAGAATTTTTTTTTAAATTCTTGAACCCTGTGAACACACTTCCAATTGGGGGCCTGGACCCTCAAAGGGTTAATATCCAGACAGGACATGAGGAGATAAAAGATCAGAAATGGAGTGTTAACACAGGAGAGAGAGTATTCATAAGGTATGTGTCCATAAGGCAGTGGGAGGCAATGGGAGGGTGTAAACAAAACTAATTCTACCATGAAACAATAAAGGCCCAAGGTGCATGGGAGGGTAATTGGCCTGCCAGTACTGCAGCAATGGTTGGCCATGTCATGAACAGGGGAAAACACAGTAGATGAAGGTGTAAAAGGTTTGGAAATTATTGTCTTATGGTATAGTGCTTAACCCTTTCGCACTCCAAGACCATGTACAGGGCCCACATCTACGGTGACTTTGGAAGGTTCGAGAGCCCAGTGATGGCACATGAAATTGTTGACATTGCCTTTAGCCAATAGAACACTTCATCCTCAAGTTACTAATCGAGAACCCCCTAACTCCTTCCCAGGAGAAGTTAGAGATGTGAAGCAATGTAATTCTAGATTTGGCAAGTGTGTGTTGACCAATTGTTTATTAGTAGAAATAGTAACTGTTTTGAGTCTCAGAAATTCTTAAAAAACTGTGGAAGTTTCAGAAAAGGTCCTAAGAGTAAAAATGTTTTAGAAAGGTTCAAGTCTGTAACAAACTCCCTCCAAAGTTTCAGTGACCACACACTATAGGGTTAATACTCATTCAAATATTCAGGAGTCTTGTATTACAAAATTCATGTATTTGCAGCTATATGAAGAGCAGTTGGAAGAGAATTTCAGAGTTCATGAGCGCCTAAGAGGTACAGAGAATGAACTACGGCAAGCCAGAGAAACTATCGATCTCAACAACAAAAAGGTTAGTTATGTTGGTGTTTGTAATGAAAATGCCATATAAAAAGCTTAGTACAGTGGTCCCTCGTTTTTCATAATTAATCCGTTCCTGGAGGAGCTACTATAAACGAAATTTACGATTTACGAATCAATTTTCCCCATAAGAAATAATGTAAATACAATTAATCCGTTCCTGACACCCAGAAGTATTAAAACAAAAATTTTTTTTACATGAAATATACATGTAGTACATAAATAATACAGTGGGAAATGATGAATGAAACATTAACAGCATAACACTTACCTTTATTGGAGATTCTTCTTAGTGTATGGGAGACTGGAGGAGGAGAGAAAGTGGATTGTTTACAGTTTGGAAGGGGAATCCCCTTCCAGCAACACCTCAGGTACCAATTGCTTCTCTGGGGTTGCTTCTCTTCTCTGTTTCTTAATGCCACTAGGACCACCTTGAGAGTCACTCTAGTCCTGTCTCGCAAAGTAACTGTGGAGAGAGCTCTGTTTCTGGCGTCTCTTTAACACTTCCCTAAAATGGCCCAAGACTTTGTCACTGTACATATTTCTCACCTTCTTTACCACAGGCTTGGCACTAGGAGCTTTCTTTGGAGCCAAGGTAGCTTATTTAGTACTTGCAAGCACTAAAATGAGTGGAATATTATGAAATATTTCATAGGAGCACTTGAGGGGACCTTCACTCACTGGTAAACAATGCCAGACTGGCTGGGTAGGGAGGCCTCACCGGCTCACACCGTGCGTACGCGTCCCGGACGAACTACTATTCGTGAGTCAACCTATGAAAAGCGAGTCCATGTTTATATGAAAATACCCCTATGATTGGCAAAATTTACGATTGCCGAGAACTACGAAAAGCGAGGGACCACTGTAATATGAGAAAACACTCTTACAGGAGAGGTTTATTACAAAGTGTTTGTATTTGTACATTTGTTTGCTTATTTGCATCTAAATACATTCACATCCTGAGTGCACCTTCCTTCCAGTCTGATGTTCACATGTCCATACCTTATATTTCTCCGTAATCTTAGTCTTTCTCTTTTTTGTGTTGACTTTCAAGAAACTCTTGCAAAATTTATGAACTTCCTTACCAACTTCTTCCCAGGATATCACTGGTCCAGCTCTAAACTGCAATTGGTATTATTCTAATTTTCATATCAGACTGTCTTGTAAAACACACTCTTCTTTTAACACAATAGCACAGTGGACCCCCGGATTAAGTCATCGGAATAAGTAATATTCAGAATAAGTAATGCTTTTACATCAAAATATTGACTTGGGAACGTCACTGAACTCGGTGTAAGTCATTTGTCCCGAACGTGTCCTTACAGCCTGAGCCACCCGACACTCCATGTACAGCCAGTGCCATTGTTTACCAGCCAGTGAGGACGATCCCACGCATTCATACGATACATTTCGTATTATCCCATTCTTTTTTAGCGCTTGTAACTACTAAATAAGCCACCATGAGCCCACAGAAAGGTTCTAGTGCCAGCCCTTTGGTAAAGAATGTGAGAAAAACTATAGAATTCAAGAAAAAGTTTGTAGACAAATAGGAAAGTGGTGGTGGTAGAGGGTGGTAGTGATGTTGGTAGTGGTTTTGATGCTAATAGAGGGTGGTAGTATGGGCCAACAGGTCTGCTGCAGTGTTCCTGCTTTCTTATGTACACCAGCCAGGGTACTTCCCCACACAACCAATTGGATGGACTTGCACATGAGTGAATAGAAATATCAAAGCTTATTCCTTGGGAAGCATTAAAAATTGGGTTGGGCAAATACTATTCTGTTAGTGGGATGGTTTGTGAAGGACCTGCTTAGTATGGGTCAACAGGCCTGCTGCAGTGTTCCTGCTTTCTTATGTGCAAACATTTATGGATGAACATCACCCTGACACAGCTGTTGCAGGCTGTGCTGGCAACATCTACAATGAGTGTTGTGTCCCATTTTAGGGAAATCCAGTGACTCTCAAGCTGGTCCTAGTGGCATTAAAAAACAAAGAAGGGAAGTAACCCTGGAAAAGGACTTGATACCTGAAGTCTTTATGGAAGGGGATTCCCCTTCCAAACAATAGTACACCTCCATCCTCTCCCCTCATCCTATCTCATCATTTATCACTAAGTCTTCAATAAAGGTGTCATTTTAGTAATGTTTTACTCTGCATGTCTTATTGCTTTCAGTGTAGAGAAATGTATATTTCATGTAGAAAAATGATTTTGTTTAATACTTTTGGATGTCTGGAACAGGTTACATTGGATTTCCATTATTTCTTATGGAGAAAATTAATTTGAAGTAAGTCAGATTCGGGATAAGTCACTCTCTCTGGAACGGATTAATTACATAATCTGGGGGTCTACTGTATTCACTTCTTTTTACATCAATAAACACACTAAACCTCATAAATATCTCACACATCTTTATCTTAGAGTGACTACCTTTCTAAACTAGAGCCTTTTCTCTTTGATATGTCTGAGGTTCAATTTATTTTCATTATACAGCAGTACCTCAGTACACCTACCATCTGACTTATGACCGAGTTTGGTTCCAAGAAACCAGTCGTAAGTCGAAATGGTCATAAGTCGAACTTTACTACTGAATATCAACAAAACATTTTTGTAATGACTTTATTTTATTGTTTTATTTTGGTATTTCATGTTTTACTTTACTTTTTATGTTGTTAGTACTGTATTTTATACTGTAAGGTTTAGGATTAACACTGTGTACAACACAAATAGTTGTTTATTTCCAAGAAATTTGGCATAAAAAACACGGTCATAAGTCGAGTGGTCGTAAGTCGAGCAGGTCGTAAGTCAGATGGTAGATGTATATGTCCGCTTTGGAATAAATCCAATTTGGTATACGTCCTGTTTGGATGCAAAAATTTTTGCTTGGTATACGACCTTTGTTTGGAATACGACTCACGTGCTAGAACTTTTATGGGTCAAAATGAGTCACGACACGCATTCTACCCTTGTTTACCTCTCTCTCGAGATGAAGCCACACCTGCCCACTAGCATCAGTACGCCCTTTGCTACCATTCGGTGAACAACCCGTGCTGTAACTGTGAATTTTCACATGATTGTGTTTTTTTTTTTTTTTTCGTATAGATTTTTAGTAAATTCATTAACCATGAATTTTAAGAAAGTTAATGAGAAAAGCCAAGCAATGAAGAAAATGTTTAGGATCACTATGGAGGTGAAAAAGAGAGATTGTTGAAAAGTGTGAAGGTGGCATGCGTATCCGGGACTTGGCTGCTGCATACCATATGCCGAGAACAATGGTATCTACAATTGTGAAAAACAAAGATGTTATTAAATCAGCTAATGCTGCGAAGGGGGTGAAATCGAGTACCAAACAAAGATTAGGGACATTAGAGCATGTTCAAAAATTGCTTTTGATCTGAATAACAGAAAAAAGTGTGCCAGCGATAGCGTATCAGAGGCAGTGATTTATGAAAAGGCAAAACTGATGCATGCTGATCTTTGCATAGCTCTCATTGACAAGCTTGGCAGGAAGTTTCATACAGAACAATGAACTCTGCTTGGAGGAATTTGTGGCCAGAAGCAGTGGCTGAAAGGGACTTAGAGACTGTGTCTATAGTGGAGGATATTCTCTCTCTGGGCAGGTCCATGGGTCTGGATGTGAGTGATGGTGATGTGGAGGAGTTAGTGGAGGGGCACAGGGAAGAGCTGACCACTGAGGAGCTACAGGAACTTGAGATGGATGCACTCTCTTCAGGCTTGGAAGAGCAGATAAATCAAGTCCCTACTTAATTAATCAAGGAAATCTTTGCCAAATGGATGGATGTCAAAAACTTTGCAGAGAAGTACCACCCCAGCAAAGTCCAAACAAGCCTTAATAGCATTGTCTGGAATGACCAGACAATGTCACATTTCTGAAACATCCTAAGGAGAAGACAGAATCAAAGTTCTTGGGACAGATTTTTTGTAAAAGCCAAACCTGGTGAGCTTCAACGAGGTCCAAATAGGGAAGAGAGAGAGAAAAGAGAAGGGGACTCTTCTTCCAAACAATAACATTTCCTTCTCCCTTCTCAGCAATATCCTAGTAGGCACTCGACTCTTTTCAGCAAAGTAAAGTGAGGTTAAATTTGCATTTATTTCATCTAATTCTTTTGTATTTATATATGTATTTTACTATTAAGCAACATTTAAATTATTTTATACAACCCCATCAATGTATAATATGCCAATAGGATTTTTTTCATGGGAACAGATTAATGGTTTTCTCAACATTTCTTATGGGAAAATTCGTTTGGTATAAGTCCAAGGTCCTGGAACAGATTAAGGACGTATACCGAGGTATCGCTGTACATTTATTTTTCTTTGGTAGGTTTTTCTAGTATAGTGCCCTGTTGTGCATAAAATTTCCAAGTCTTATTTTCTTTTTCTTGTTAATTTTTACTTAAACTAGCCAGTCATTTAACCACATACAGTGGACCCCCGGTTAACGATATTTTTTCACTCCAGAAGTATGTTCAGGTGCCAGTACTGACCGAATTTGTTCCCATAAGGAATATTGTGAAGTAGATTAGTCCATTTCAGACCCCCAAACATACACGTACAAACGCACTTACATAAATACACTTACATAATTGGTCGCATTCGGAGGTGATCGTTATGCGGGGGTCCACTGTATTAGACACTTATTTTGTATATTTCTGACATGTCTCTGCCTGATAATATATTGTAAACATTTCAGAGTATATCTGACTCTCATTCTCTTTTGAGTTCTAATAACTTATTCATAGTTAATTTTAATAAATCAAAGTAATTACACTACATTAAACTGCATTGCTCCGAATTATCAGCTTTATTTTGAAAACTCTTTGACTTTACTCATATTTAAACATAAGTCTTCATATTTGTCTGGGGAAACTCCATTGGTAATTCTTTTTTGGATCAGAAAATATCTCATAAATCTAGAAAATACTTGTTTGCTCTCAAAAATAAAAAATTCTTCAAAATGCAGTACCCCAAATGT